TTGAAATGAATAGTTATTTATTTGTATTTCCATTGCTCACAGTGATGTTCACTGCTCACGGTCGTGTGAAAAAGGTAACAAGTCATATTGTAGCATCTAACAATTTTCGTACGACGCACCAACACAAATAATTCAGAAAAATGAAACGCAGTATTTCATACAGACACCGTATCGGTGTTTACATGTTTTGAGCGTGTTGCTTTGTGTGTGCGAGTGTAAAGTATTTGAATTCTTATAAATGAGAACCAAAACCTAACGGTATGTTGTTGACCAATATACACTCGCAATAGCAGCGATGCAATAGTATTCAGCCACAGTACACATCGGTTACAACTGTGAAAAGAGTGGGGATTCGCCTGTATATGTATTGTATAAAGTCTGATTTGTTGCTATGGACATGCGGCGCCTCTTTCGGGATAATTTTGATACCGACATCGTTTCGGAGGTTCTTTGTGAGTAAGTTTGAGGGAGGTGTAAACTTTCTTGTGCAAATATTTTTTCTTGAAAATGCGAACATGCTCTTAAAAGAAACTTATTTCATATTGAAGGTACACACTGTGTAACTTTCTGCTATAGGCGACATCTACACGCATCCAATAAATGAAATCTTGAAAGCATACCAATGAGTAACCTTTAACGTAAATAAAGAACTTTCTGCCTTTTTTCACAATTCAAATCAAGTTTGAATTTATTTTACTCTTTCCCCATTGAAGTGATTCTGACTTTAATTTAATTTGTTTCGTAAAATTGCAGTGAAATTCATTCAACGTATATTTTTAATACTACGCAAAATTAAGAGCTATTGTTCTGGTTTTGATTTCTCAGGCTTTTTCAAGACTCTGACCACACTTTGGGATTAAAGTTACTTAAGACTTTATACTTGTTTAGCTTTAATTTATATCTAACAAGTACAATGTATACTAGTAAAAATGTCAAACGGACACAGGCTTGTGTCTGTTCGTCCGTTCTTTTAAAAATGCGTCGCTGAGCATAAAAATGGGAATACAGATCTGTTATAGCAAGAACCGAACATGAAAAAAGTATTTCTTAAAAACGCAATATGAATCTCCAGTCGGCATGAATGTGACATGAGCAACGGTTGTCACAGTATTCTTATGACACGCTTCTGTGTAGCGCAAATTCATGTTGCGTTTATAAGAAACACTTTTTTCATATTCGGTTCTTGCTATAACAGATCTGTATTCCCATTTTTATGCTCAGCGACACAAATTTAGGACGGACCAAGCATCGGTTCAGATATAGAAATATGCAAGATAAATATGCAAAGCATAGACGCGTACGGACGACCGTGCGACGAACGTATCAACGAGACGTGTTTGTATGAATACAGTATACAGCAAACAACGATGGCTCTGGTGATACGTCCGTCGCACGGTCGTCCGTATGCGTCTATGCTTTGCATATTTATACAGTATAGAACATCTACGTAAACATATTTCTATGTCCGAACCGGTGCTTGGGACGGACACAATTTTTTGTTCGTCCGTTTGAAAATTTAGGTTGGACAAAAAATTTCGTCCGTTTGGGATTTTTTTTGTCCGAGAAAGTCCGCAAATCAAGTTTTTGGAACATCTAATAAGATATCATCACTTATTTTTCGACGAGAAATTCATTTCTGATTTTGTTTTATACAAAATATCATAAAGGAGTCAAACGGACACAACTTTGTCCATCCGTATGTAATATCCGTCCGTCCCAAATTTTCAAACGAACGGACGGACAGAAAATGTCCTTCCGTTGTCGGTCCGCTTGACAACTTTATATAGTGTGTACTATACTGTGTCGAAATATGTATTCTGTATATAGTTTCTTATGAAACAACAAGCTAACAATAAGAACGCGAACATAATAAAACAATAAAAATCATACGTTGCCCTTCTGTTCGTGAATTCTGAATAATATGATTAATGGTCATGATCACGGTGTAGAAGTGACAGTCGTTTCAAGTGTTTTTAAATGATAATTGATTGTGGCTGTGTTGAAAAATCCCTGGATTTTCTCGAAAAAAATTTCAAAAACTGCATTCAATTGGATCTTTGTTCTCAATCGAATGAATGATCAAAAAACAATATAAAAAGTTTGTTATTACAGTAGAACCTTCCAAAAGTGGACTCGCTCCGGCAGAAAATAGTTTCCACTATCTCGAGGTTTCTATTAAACAGAGGTTCCACTATTGAGAAGTTTTACTGTATTTGAAAAATATATAAATTGTAGTTTGGATCCTGACTATGATTTGTGCCAGTTCGTTGGAACTTTTCTTTAAAAAAAAATTCTTCAATTTGTCCAGAAAAAAACATGATGACGACACATAGTAAGCCAAATTATAGACGATTAAGGAATATTCCGAAATTCATGAAATGGCGTTACAGTTTTGTTGGCTGAAATGAAATTAAGTCAATATGTATTTTATGGCAGTTACACACCAAAATATGGAATATGTAGACTAGTACGCGAGTTGATTTACATCTAGCAATAAACGAACGAAAAATGTCACTAGTTTCTAGTTACATTTGTCACTAAACGACCGTCAGGTGTCATTTGTTTGACGGTTTATTTACATAACATATAAATGACTAATTTTGAAATGACAGATTTGAGTGTGTATACTATACACTGTATAGTCTGAATTACTCTGAGGATTTGGAATTAAAATTATTCAGAAACGGGTTTGTTGAGGAGTACTGGATTCGATATGAGCCCAAGGTGTGATAATTGGTATGGTTGGTCGTTGTATTTGTAATAGTATTATTGCATGCATTACGCGCAATCAATTGTTCAAACTCATTTGCTACGGCGGTTACATTTCCGTATATTGTGCCGCTCGAGCTTGGATTTGTTGTTTTTGGTAGTGTTCCATAGATATTGTTGCTTGGATAACTATTGTTAGAAATGGTAGCTGTTGTTGATGCTGGAATCGCTATACTTGTTTGGCTTGATAAAGTCACTGGTGCATTAGACGCCGAAATAGAACTTAATGCATTGAATAACGTACTTCCTGGGCTTGCAATATTGTTTGCCTTATTCTTGGGCAAACAATTTGATTCAAACTGATACTGAATATTATTACTTCTAGCTACTTGTGATGGTAACATGTTTGTGTGATTAATTAGCGATTTAGATGGCGATAATGTTTTTTTAATCGTTGTATTTGATGTGTTGGTCGACGCTGATAATAGAAAATTGCTTCTATCATCATTATCATCATGAATACCTCCACCACTACCACCATCATCATCATTATTATCCATAATAAATGTATTTGATGAAAGATGATAATTCTTTATAGAGGTCGAACCAGTTTTTAGTTTTGTCTTTAGTTGATTGGCGGCATTTTTCGATTCATTCAGAATGTTTGATGCGTTATTCGTCTTTCGATGATGTACTAATGGTGATAATGTTTGTTTTATTAGTGTTGATGTTGAAGTTGGTTGAATTGCATTTAAATTAATGAAATTGGTTAGCTCGTTTGACGCAAATGAAGAAGGCGATTTGTCAGCGTCTGTTGCGAATAAAACATTTTTAGAGCTAGTAGTATTGGTATTTTTTCCACGTGTGTAAGATTCTTTTGTGTCAGCAACTCCATCCAAATTATTACTCGTATTGATTGCAAAACTACTATTGCTATCTCTAATTTTACTACTTGACAATGATGATGTGAGAAATGTTGGTGATATACCCCGTTTGACAGTATCAGCACCTATAAAATAAAACGAAAGTCGTAAAATACGATTAAATAAAAAAAAACATAATCAGAGAATACCATGGGATATTGTTATTCAGATGGGATAGAAATATCGCAAAAATATCCGTTATTTTTCGCACGTTGTGTTCAGCGTAATGCATGAATATAGCACGAAGAGAGTTGAAAGAAAAAGTGAGCGAGACATGCATCGTCGTTACTATGAAAAGAATAACGAATAACAGCGATTCTGTGTGTACAGTTGTGTTGATCTCTTCACACTAACGATGAGCTGCGGGAAAAGTACATGTACAATGCATATTGCACATACTTCGCTCACCACTTCTTTCAACGTAAAAACTATGATATTTATGCGATATTTCTATCCCATCTGAATAACAATATCCCATTGTATTCTCTGAACAAAATATATTCAGAAGTAGTGTTGGCTTCGAACGTTCGTTCGATTGACATGATATGAAGAAAACTTTTTGTTCGTTCTTTCGTTCGACAATTTAAAAAAATCGCATCTTCGTTCGTCCGGAAATTTGGTCGTAAAATCGCGAAAAACCTCGAAAATATACGCCAAAAATGAACATTCTCATCGTTTTTGCGAAATCAAAAGGAGGGCCTTAGTCATGAGAAAATCAATAAAGCACACTTTAATTTAAGTCTTTCCGATATAATTCAAAATGTTATTTGCTTCCTATGGATTTTAAATATAAAAGAACCGAACGAACGAACAAGCCAAAATGTCCAAACGAATGAACAATTTTTATCTTCAAATTTTCGAACGAACGAACAGAATTTTTTAAAAATTATGTCGAATCGTTGAACAGGTGTTCGAAAATGCTCGATAGCCAACACTATTAAAGTGTAATTGGAAGTAGAACTATCTACATACTCTTCGATGATCCTGAACCTGAATTGGTGGAAGTAGAACTACTTTCTGGGGAGGGTGTTGCGAGCTGTGGCTGTTGCGATGGGTCTAGCGCCATTGAGTCCACTGATTCCTTGCCCGCCGATTGATGGAGCTGTAAAGAATTATTTCATATTTGGTTATTCAAGTCCCCCTTTTGTCTCAATAAATATACAATTTATAATTATCAAACAATGTACCAAAAATGTCAATATCAGACATGGGCGTTGAATGTCATTCAGTGCCATTAAGCTGTGAAAATCTCTCTCCGGCTATACGGCAAACAACAGAACCAACACTGAACATGAAAATGACATGTTCAATTGTGTTTGTTTCGTTAGTTTCAACTGTGCCGCTACGAGAGGTCACTTTTGTCGTTTCTTGCTGTTATTTTACATGTAAAATCAATGGTATTAGGTGAGGATGCTATCAGACGATACAAGTAAAATGCTTGTAGCAAGAAGTTTTTCCAACGTATTTGGGTTTGATTTGGAGAATTTCACTGGCATGCAAATACTTTCGTCGAAAATTCCACTTGCATTGCGTGCAAGTATTTCGTCGGTTCACATTTGCTATTTCAATGAGAAAAATGACTAGAATAGTGTTTGGTTTGGCGCCATCTGCAAGTAAGAAGTATTTTGCAATACAAATACGTTCTATTGTTGCTGTCATTGGTTGCTGTCATTGATAGTTTGCAGTATATTTATATAGAAGTTTCATAGTTCAGCGTTCAGCGTCAAGATGTCGCTTAAATATAGCATAAACATGTGCTCCATATAAAAACATAGGCAAATTTTATCATTGGCTATTTTAACGTCTACAAGGTAAGTCATAGAGTGTCAAAATAATCGATTTGAATTTTTATCAAAATTTGTATAGATCTATAAAAAATTGATTATTCTGACACTCTATAGAGTGACTTCCTCATATATGATTGGACCCAGAAAACATTTTTGAAAATGCTTACAGCAAGTTTTACCCTTGCATCATCGGACAGCACCCAAAATCGAAAACCTTTATTGAAAAAAGTCTAAATTTGATGCAACTAGTTGCTATTAGATTCGTGTACCACTGATGTTTTTTAGCCTTGTGATGTGACAGCAGCTGTTTTTTTCTCACTCAAACATTTGTTGTACACATTTTAAACTGTCTTTTTACAACGATAAAGTGAAGTTCATTGCAGAGGAAGGCCTTTGGAGGAGTTCGCGATTGTGACGGTGCATGCACCAAGTACCTGGTGGTGAGAATCTCAATTATAAATGTATTAAATAGAATACATGTCATTATATGTACGGTTGTATGAATGGCGCAATGTATCGTATATAATACATTTGACAAATCGCACCACCGGTGGCGTATTGTATGCTCACTTTTGACGTTTCCGTATTATAGGCCGTCCTCTGGTTCATTGTCGATATTTATCGTTCTTGTTTTGTTATTTTGTTGTGTTTTTCTATCTTTTGTTCATATTGTTATTGTTGTTGAAACTCATAGCCTTAGAAATGAGCTGTCCGTGTGCTGATCTGACGAAGCATCTTTTGGGAGTGAAGAAAATGCTGATTCCAATTATGACGCTGATTTAAAATTGGAATAAATGTTTTTCGTCTGAAAAATTTGTAAAATCGTCTAAAGAATTGATACACTGTTTAAAATTTACGCTTGAATATAGACGGAATTCCGGCTAGTATACGCTCTCGGTCGATATTCCTCCCAGTAAGTTGTATTCCAGCCGTTTTTTCGCCTAGATTTCAGACGAATGTACGCCTGAAAGTAGATTTTCAGTTGAAGTTTTATGCGAAATATAGACTGAGACCGTATACCAGCCGAAATTCCGTCTATAATCGGGCGTAAATTTTAAACTGTGTAAAATCATCTAATTTGATTTTCCAATAAACGCCCAACGTCCTATTTTGAGGACGCAAAAATTGGCGATTTTTCTATGACTTATTTTATAAGCCATGAACTGTGAGTAACTACGTGTACCTAGTGTCATGACTACGTGTACCTAGTGTCATTACTACGAACTCACATGAATTTTAAGTAATCTCTCGTAATCTCTAAATCTGGTTAAATTTCGTTAAATACAGTATTTGGAGAACGCTAGGAAGACCGTGTTAATAAATTGTTAAATTTCCACATTTTATAAATTCAAAATATGATATATTCATTGGACTAATAAATTGTAAAAAATACACATGAAAAAAATAAATTCATTTAATTTTTCGGTAGAAATCTAATGATAAACTTCAAACGTATTCCCTTTTGAATCTCAATGAACAAATCTCATTACTCCTGAAATGCATTGACACATTTGGTAACTTCGATCAACCAAATGAAATTGAATTTGCTTCGGTAGAAAATCGAATACTAAATGAATTTTCAATGTTATTGAAGCATTTATTTATTCTTAATATTATATATTTTAATAAATATATTTTAAAAAAATGAATAACATTCTTATTAAATTTAAAAACTTTGTTTTTCTGTGTACGTACTTAACTCACATTAAGTACGAACCGCCATTGCTGTAGTGGCAGCCATTTTCCTTTTGACACATTTAAGATGTGATAATCATTGAAATAAAATAAAATAAATATAATAAACAAATCAAGTTGGAATACACATAAATCAATTTGCATGAAAATTTCCATTACTTCTTAATACTCTAGTTTCATTTATTTATTCCGAATTTATAAATAAATGAAGCTCTTGACTACATAAATTTATTCAAATCATTTAGCTTGCTTGTATATTATTCAAGAGAAATGAAAATTGCATGTCAACTTAGCAAATAAAATTGTTCTACAGTGAATTCAAAAACGTGCTTTGGGTAGCACATTTTTATTTTGACATGAAATTTACATTACTCCTGAAAAACGAATGAATAAACAGAATGCAAAATGATCTCTGGCATGTAATATATATGAATATGAACTGTCAAAAGCGGTGAAAAGGAAAATGGCCGCCATTACAGCTGTTCATACCGGTTCATACCCAATGTATGTTATGTACATACGCATAAAAACAAAGTTTTTAAATTTAATACATTTTGATACAGAATGTATTTCTTTTTATTTCAAAATATTTATCAGAAATAAATGTCTTAATAACAGCGAGAAATGTAGTGTCGATATACTCCATTATTGTTTACACGAAGTTTCCAAACGTTGCCAAAGAAGGTAATGTAATTCAGGAGTAATGAGATTTGTTCATTAGTATTCAAAGTGAATGCGTCATAGATTGATTTATCATTTATGTTTTACTGTCGGAATTTTTCCAAAAAAACGAATGAATTTATTCTTTCAAATTTTACAATTTATTAGTCGGTAATAGCAAGCACCCATGCGTATTATATTAAACTAATCATTTCAGTTGGTGTTTATTCAGTTGTATAGGTACTTAAAATGTATTTTACAAATCTGACAGAATCTGACAGTTGCGGCGAGACTACGGGGGTAGGGGCGCCATGAGTATCAAATCTCTACAGTTCATGGCTTATCTTATTTTAGATTTTCTTTTATCCCGATCAAACGGCTTGGAATTTTCACATGCCGTTTTGCATGTGTGTTAGGAGAGGTTTGGAGAATGTTTTCCCCGATTTTCAAGGTTTACCAATTAACAGTTTTCCGGAAAGTGCCGGAAAATTGTGAAAATTTAAAACGTGTCGGAAAATTCTGAAACTTTGAGAAAATTATATATTCATCAGAAAATTCGAAAAAAAATTTGGCTTGGGCGTTAATGGGTTAAAATTTGGAGGCACATCAATCTGCTGCTGATTTTCATCAAGTTTCACGGTGGCTACATGGACGTGTGGCCGGCACTAGCCTCTTCACCAGGAGCTAAGCATCGCTAAATCGGTAGTAGGAAAACTCAGTTGACTCGCTGGCAACCAAAAATTCTACAATTGTGCCAAATTCTTCAGACAAACCGACAAAAAACATCATGCGGTCGCTGTACATCTCCCCGTTCCTACCATACGCTAACACGACCGACATTATGAAAATCCTGAAGCACAGTGACGATCTCAAACACGAAAAAATAAAGGGATCACGCATTATGACCTAATTTCTGGCTCAAGTGTCTGGAAGAAGGAAAGTTCACTGTGAAGGCATTTGGACAAGAAATTCTGCACGCAATCGAACAGCCGTTCAAAAAGATGCAACTTTCGGTCGATCGAAAAGAGCCCCAGAAATACAAAAGAAGTTGAAAAACGTCAATCGCAATGAGAAAGGTCAGAAGTTGAAACCGGCAAATGAATGTAACAAAGTTGGCCAAGGAATCAGCGTCAACGCAACATTCGTGGATGATTTCAATTTGCCGCATGTGGGTCAATCGATAGCGACGATGAAAGCATTTTGATTCCGACACTACTCAAACCCGAGTCTACCGCCACTTTCATTCAGAGACTCATGAGTATGGGCAGCGCCTGTCCAACCGCCGGTGCAAGGTACGTGAGCGCAAAAGATTTTGAATAAATTCAAGCGTGCCGAAAGCTAAATTTTGGAACGATTCAAAAATTTAGAGCGCAAACGTAAATTCGTTCAAAACACATATTTGTTCAATTATCGCATAAGGCAGATATTTGCTTCCATGCGTTTCATATACACCGTCGCAATGAGAGATACTTAAGCAAATATCATACGATATTATCGAGATATGAACGCGTGAGAATAAAAGACTGACGCTACCAGGTTTTTCGCAAAAGCGGGATAAAAATCAGATGCACGCAAAAGAGACATTTCAAAAGGTTTCACGCAAGAGAGAAGTATGTTGTTGTTGTAATCACGGCTTTAAAATTCAAAATGCGACAAAATAAAATGTTCCGTTTGTAACCTTTTGAAATGTCTCTTTTGCGTGCAACTGATTGTTATCCCGCTTTTGCGAAAAACCTGCTAGCGTCAGTCTTTTATTCTCACGCGTTCATATCTGCCTAATGGTATTTGGACAATGGACACATGGTATATTTTTATGTTGTGTCGATCTGGTTTCGGAGATGACGATGTCTACAGAATTGGTGAAAAACAGAGCGTGTTTTGAGCTGACGTTAGCAGCACTAACTAACGTCAGCTGCAGATATCAGCTGCTGACAAGTATGCGTTGAGTTATTTTAACGCATTTGCAGTATAAAAACGAAAGGGTAAGAAATCATAACATTGGATCGTTCAATCATAACAATGGATCGATCAATCAATTTTATACTGCAAATCCGTTAAAACAATGCAACGCATACTCGTCAGCAGCTGATATCTGCAGCTGACGTTAGTCAGCTCGAAACACGCCCTGATGAAAAATCGTAATTTTGTTCGATTCATCAACACTTTCAACGAAATTGAGAACAAATGGATGGAAAATCTAGTTTTCGAACGTCATCATCGTTAAACGATAACAGAACTTTTCTAACAAAAAAATTTCTCGTTTTGAGAAAATTTTGAGTCATAATATTTCAAGGGCGCATGTATATAATTTGCACCGGGGCGCCGTGAGCGCTCGGATAGGCGCTGAGCATGGGACTCCATCAGATAAATCATGTCCGTAATGAAACAAAAATTCGTCTATTGGATTTGTTCTTCTAAAGATTTTACCAATATTTCGTGTGAACGAGTTGAAGAAGCTAATGTATTGAAGAAAGTGGATACTCATCATGCCGATAATAGCAAGGCTTGAATGGCATGATAACGCTACCACTACTGCCATCAGCACAACAAGAGCATTTCATTTCAAGCATACCAATTTTGCTGAGATGAATGCATTGCACACCTGGCAAACATCAATTTCAACGAGATTTTCCATGGAAAGACCAATGGAATTTTCCATTGAGAAAGTTGATGCATAAGACTTTGACCAATGCTATCACCAAATTTGTGCCAACGTGCATCGTTCAGTCGAAAAAATTCCCATAGACACTGGAAAAAAACGTGTCCGAATGGTTTCTGGTTTGGCATTTGGGTCGAGTCAGCTTCAAATCTCTACAGTGTTTCTCGAAGAATTGACAGTAATTTAAAATATTTTTCTTTCAATAATTATTGAAGGGCATAATAATCACTTCGATAATAAATATTCAGTCGTTTGCTGTTGACTGAAATTTAAGACAATCGCTGTATTGGCACTGGTACAGGAGACGTTCTCATAGAATCCACGGAAACACAATTACTAGTCTTATGCGCTGGGTCAGCGCCGCTGACACACGAAAAAAGCAAGAAGATCAGCGTTTATATTTGCATAGCTGTTCCTGGATAGGGAGGTAGCCCTTATTTTTACTATCAAGTAATCGCTTTGTAGCTTATTAAATAATAAAAGCAAAAAAGTTCACATTCGTCTAAAATAATAGATTACTTACTCGCTGCGAGACTCGAAGCGATTGAGCTGACTGAGCCACTGCTGATTGATATGGCCGAGTGCTGTGTGTAGCCGAGGGAAGATGCTGCTCGACCAATGTTGAACCCATGATATGCTGATTGTGACGTAATTTTTCCGCTGGCAACACACTGACTTTGTTTCCACGCTGCTCTTGAGGCTCGTTGCGATGACCTGTCTACATATGACCATATAAATTATCTACGGTCATACCCAATTCCAAATGCAAGCACATTCTCACATTTTTCATCAATTTTACAAATCAACATATGTCATGTTGCATTTGATATTGGGTACGATATAAAATTATTGATATGTTTGATCGATTAGTTTTAAATATTCAGACAAGACCCAAAATACAAGTGTAAAAGGCAAGGAGAAAATCATACAAATATGTCAACTTTCATTGCTTGATTTATCGGCAAATATAATGCACCCAATCTCATGTCGCAAATGCATCTGAATAATGGTGTAAGAACGCTCCGGAATCCCGAGTTCATTAAAATCTAACGCTATCGAACAGACTACTCAATGCGATCGCCATTCAATAATCCATGCCAAATGTTTAATTGCCAACGCTACCGCATTTCCAGTTTCGTCAAAAACTGCTCAAACTTCCGGATGAGGCTTTCGGTTCATGGACGCAGTTGTGAAAAAACTATTGACGACCTCAAACCAAATGAAGAGGAACCAAAATACCAAATTATAGTATTTGATGGCAATTTTATCATAGTTTTTGCTTAGTCTTTGAATGTTGTTTTAAATTTTTAAATTTTGAATTTTATTTATTTATTTTGCTATCCACACATTCTGGAATGTGTCTTCCTACAATAACCACCTGACATCTAACATCCAATACCTAAAATTCGTTATTGCCTACCTAATGACCTATTGCCTATTGACAATTGTAAACTAACCAAATGAATGTATAATTCCTGAACTCAGCCAGTTTTTGGCGGTGAAATAAATTGAATTGAATTGAATAGATAGACGATTAAAAAATAATTGATTAAGAAATACAAGATTGTGAGACAACTTTCTATCCTAAAGGGATAGATTTTCGGAAATATATTCTTGCAGGATATTCTATACAATGCAGTCCCAAGCGCCAAATTCTCCAAATTTGGACGTCATGCATTTAGAGAATGTTTCCGAATTTGTCGATCAGTGACTTTGCTATGCGAGTTGGGATTCTAATACTTTGAAATAAAACATGTAATACCCTAATTGTATAATCACGAAAAGAACAGGTTTTTCATGACTCTCATTTTTCTGCAAAATTAAAATATTCAAACAGCTCTTGGTATCAATGAATAATGGAAAAAAATCGGACATTTTTATTTTTATACACTTCTGTATGGGATCTATGTATGTTAAATCACGTTTTTCTGCATAATTTGGAGAATAGGACTAGTGTTGGCCGTCGAATACTTTCGAACACTAGTACAAAGTTTAATTAAGTACTTAACGGTAATAATCGGTGATAACTATCATCTTAGTAATTACTTATTAATCGGTAATAAGATCGATAATAATTATTACCAGTGGTATTACTCAGTAATAACACCGGTAATTACGTTATACCTTCAGTCTTACCCAAAGAAATCAAAATTGTATTTGCTTCCTATGTATTTCAAATGTAAAAATCCCAACGGTCGAACATAGCAATTTCCGAACGAACGAACAAAATTTTTTTTTCATAAATTTCGAACGAACGAACGAACGAGCAAAAAAAATAATTTTCAACTTTTCGAACGAACGAACGAACAAAATAATTTTTTACAAAACTTTCGAACGAACGAACGAACAAAACAATTTTTTTTTATATTGTCGAACGGTCGAACGAAC